GCTCTGCTATATCACACCGGAAAATGCTCAGTGTCCTCCAGAAGAGAGGAAACTCTCTGGGTTATGGCCGCCGGCTGCTCATCAACCTCAGCCCGCCATCCATGGTTTTGCAAAAGCCCAACTCAGAGCAGCATCACTTGGGTGACTTCGGCCATGATCTGCCTCCTCACGCCCACCTCCATCAGGAGGCCTTTAACAGTCTAGGAAAGGATGCGCAAGTTGGTGGAGCAATTGGAAGTGGCTCTAGGGAGGACCCGGACATGGTCCTGGACAACCCGCTGAACCAGCTTTCGACTCTCGCCGGTCAGCTTGCCAGCATCCCGTCTGAAGCTCAAGGTGCACCAGTATCTCCTGGAGCAGAATCTCTACCCGACGAAAAGCCCACATTCCTCGTTCAGCAGCCTGTGATGGCACCCGCTGCCGTCTCTGTCAGCGCGGCTCAAGCTTCTTCTCCCATCACCCCCGAGCCCAGACCGGCAGCCCACAGTGGCTGCAGCCCAGGGGTGGGACCCTGCAGCGAGAGAACCAGCACTCCCAGCGGTACCAACAGCCAGCCAGGGACGCCCACACCAGTACAGGACCCGCAGATGCTCCACCACTGCCCACACTGTCACATATATTACCCCGACAACATCCTCTACACCATCCACATGGGTTGCCATGGTTACGAGAACCCTTTTCAGTGTAATATATGTGGACACAGATGCAGGAACAGTTATGACTTTGCCTGTCACTTTGCAAGAGGCCAGCACAAATAAGGACACATGGGTGTTACTTTGCCCCGTTTTACGTAACAATAATACAACTATAGTATCTGGAACATTCCAAAGACAAAATTGGTGGACTATTTTATCGGAACTGTTATTGGTATGTTATGAAGAAGTCAGGAAGCTACATTGAGAGTGTACATTTGTTGGTCTTTGAAAAGGCAAGAAATGTGAATGCTAATGATGTTCTCACATCAAAAACTACCATCCCGTTCTCCCAACTTTACAATAATTCAGAACACAGATTTTGCCTCAACTCTCTTTTATAAGTGCCAGAGTTCAGTAATCAGTGCCTACAGTTATTTTCTGAAAGTTGACACTTTGCATTTTTTTGTATTATTATTATTATTAATATTTTTACATTTGGAATTCACTGACATGAACGACAGTACATGTCACGGCTATTCTTACGCTTTAGTTGAAGTGTTGTAACATGACATTGCCACTTTTAATATTTCTTTCCTCTAATTTATGATAATTTATCACAAATTATTACTTGCTTATTGGTTGAGAGAGCTACATTATTTAGACTTAACTTAAATCAACAAGGTTGAGATTGAAAAGAAAATATATAGCACAGAAAAGTAACCTGGCTGTTTAGCAGTGAGAAATAGTGTCCTGTAGGATTGTTGTTCAAATAGATAATTTTAGTGACCTGAGGTCTTCTTAGCACCATAGCACATGGCTGTATACACTGGTTTTGTAAAGCAGTGTTAATGATTGTGTTTGAGCAGTGTGGGCACACTGTTCTCTCTTTCATTCCCTCATCGCTACCACCTGTGCCATTCTGTAGATGTTATTTGTAATGTTTTTGGAAATGTCTGTGGTGCTACTATTTAAACATTTCATGTTTCTGTCTGCATAATGAACTAAATTATCAGAAAAGTATTGAATAACATGTTTTGGTGGATTTGATGTTGAATGTTAATAAACCTGACTTATGCGAAGAGTACTTCAGTGATTGTTCGTTCTGTCATTTCATTCTCAAAACCAAAACAGTAGGCCTAGCATTTCTGACTGGTCCACATCTGGCATGTTGCCTAAATATCTTCCAGCTAATAAACCTTGAAAAGCCTCTTGACTATCTTAGGTCCACCAGAAAATGTAAAGAAATAGAAATTCTTTAATCATAGATTAAATCTCTCATTTAAAACTGTTTGTGTATAGAGAAACACTGTAAAATTGATGTAAAAGAGTGAAAAACTACGGTGGCCGAGAGAGCTCACCGCGCTGCAACCTGATGAAGACGAATGCAAATACAAAAAAAACGTGTGCAACTATAAAAACGCGTGCAAATACAAAAAAAAACATCCGCAAATTAAGAAAAACATCTTCATCAGTTCCACAACACACGTGTGCTCCAAGTACTCACAACACAACCAAATACAGAAACGCGCTGCAAACGTTCACAACCAAATACAGAAACGCGCTGCAAATAACACGGTCCACAACGGAAATGTTTCCGGGGAACCAAATAAGTGACGGACCCAACTGGGACTTGCTTGTTGCTCGTGAGCTTCCCTATGCCCTACTCCCTTCAAAGGGCAGACGGCAAAGCTCTTCAAGTGGGAATTTGGTGTGAGCATGACACCTAGTGTGTCATTTATGTAGCCGCTTGGAACTTGATGAAGGGAGCAACAACAGACAGACAAGGTAATGTAATTATTTTTACCTTGGATGTTCCTATGACAACACAGCACTTTGTCCATCAGCTGTATAGCTGTTCTGACGACAGAAATATAATGATTAACATAACGGTTGCAAATAAATTATTTATTATTTATTTTTACTTTCTAAAAATCTGTTAAAATATCCGTTTTATATCTGTATGTGCCACATTACCTAACATTTTTAGGAAACTTTTCTTATGAAAATTTAAACATAAAATGAAACTATTTGTATAGTGTAACTGATGTATAGATTAATATCTTGCCTTCATGTTGTTCTAGATCTTTTTTTATTTATTTAGTTTAGTTTTCAGATCATTGTTCTTTTCTCATTTGTATTGTGATGACATTGAACATATTGAACATACGAACTATAAAAAAATATAACAGTATAATATTATTTATATATTCAATATTATTTTAATAGTATAGTTTATTTATAAAAAAAAATATAGGCTTTGACTTCTTGTCAATAAAGGTTTTTTGCTGTAAGCACGTCCTGTGGTTCCAGTCGGGTCCGTCACTTATTTGGTTCCCCGGAAACATTTCCGTTGTGGACCGTGTTATTTGCCGCGCGTTTCTGTATTTGGTGGTGTTGTGAACGTTTGCAGCGCGTTTCTGTATTTGGTTGTGTTGTGAGTACTTGGAGCACACGTGTGTTGTGGAACTGATGTAGATGTTTTTCTTAATTTGCGGATGTCTTTTTGTATTTGTACGCGTTTTTATAGTTGCACACGTTTTTTGTATTTGCATTCGTCTTCATCAGGTTGCAGCGCGGTGAGCTCTCTCGGCCACCGTAAAAAAACTGTTAATTGTTTAACAGAACCTTTCCGTACTATATATGGTAAATAACTGTGATGGATCTAATGGTAAATTTCATGTAATTTTACTGTAAAATACATTTTAAGTTAAGTCTGTAAAACCTTGTTACCGTAAAGTCTTGCTACCGTATTTTATATGGTAAATTTCTGGCAACCACAGCTGCCGGTATTTTACCGTAAATTGAACACATTTTTTTTTTACAGTGAAGACTTCAATTATAAAAACCTACATGTCTACAGTAAGGATGAAACAAGTTTCTCGTTCACATCCCAGTTCTGTGAATTATGACTGATTAGCTGAACGGTCCATTACATTGTCATCAGCCACCTGTATAATTTGAGTTAATGCCTGTAAAATTAGAACGCCCATGTCATCATTGTTTTCAATTTCCCCGTGGTAGTTTTTCATTGGAAAGATGTGACACATTGGAACACCCACTTTAATAGTGCACCATTTCATCTAAGAACAAATGATTTAGAAGGTCAAACTCAAATTTAAACTCAATGTGCAAGTCAGCAGCAGGATATGGAGCCTGGGGCTTATTTAAATATCATAATTTACCTTTCCGCTGATATTATTGCTGTAGAAGATTCTCTGTAAATTTGTTTTCACCAATGAACTTGCTTGATCCGCATTTTTCATGACAATGCAGGGGCAATACTGCAAAATGCAGAAAATCAGGTTTGTATGTTCTGATTTATTCTATGTATTTCTATTATGCCTTAGTTCAATTAGGACATTTAAATATCTTTTTTATAAACATGATTAAGTCATTTTCCTCATTCATCAAACAGCATGCACATTTCGTTTTGCTTTGTAAAATGTTTAACTGTAATTTCTTTATCCTTGATTTAGAGCAGTGGTACTCAAACTTTTTGGTTAGCTTGGGATATGTATATGAGGATCTATGTCGGGCTTGTTCATAATACAGTATATCAAGTCAACAGTCTGAAGAAGAAATTCAGAGGAATTGGCAGTAAATCAAATTCAAATTCAATAACCGAACGAAAGAAGAAATGATCTTGTTGATATTTTGCAATGTGTTGTGTCCTATTGGAAATTCCAGTTCTTGTTATCCACAAATCCTTTAGGTCTGAGTTAAATAATTTGACTGATTCCTTGTCTAAATTACAAGAAAACTATTACATTTAGTTAGTACATGGCGCCCTGCTTTGTTTGTGTTCTTGTTATTGCATTGTAAATAAAAGTTATATAAAATGTATAGACTCATATATATATATATATATATATATATATATATATATATATATATATATATATATATGAGTCTGCTTTGTCCACCTTCTTCATCTCTGGGATAAAACATGACACAAACTAAAAAAAAAATAAAATAAAATAAAATGAATCCATTAAATTTGAGATACGATTATGCTGTTCATTATGAATATAGTCCAGTGTTTTGGTTTAGTTTCTCTCTCTCTCTCTCTCTCTCTCTCTCTCTCTCTCTCTCTCTCTCTCTCTCTCTCTCTCTCTCTCTCTCTCTCTCTCTCTCTCTCTCTCTCTCTCTCTCTCTCTCTCTCTCTCTCTCTGTACCTTCATGTCATCCCTGCATCAATTTCACCATATTATTTTCCATATTATTTTTTAATGCAATGCAAAATGTTTTGTGTTGATTAATAGTTATATACTGTATATCAATGCATTATCTTGACAAGTGACTTGCTTGGTTAAATGACAGCAAAAAAAATCTGTATATTATATTCCACTGATATAGACAAAGACGTGCATCTGAAGAAGGATTGCTTTAATGAATAAAAGAAAATTTCATTCAAATCAATTTGCTTAGGAAGGATAATATGATTTGATTAATGATACAGATGAGAAATAGAAATGCTGATGATGATCAAATCACTCTTCTGCCTCAATCTTCTCACGTTGTCCGAAAAGATGTCTCCGCCCTGCACAGTAAAGTCAGTCATAAGTAGAATACTGATAATTCAAACTTCGACAGCTAGAGATGTACAGGATATTATCCAAATGTACAAGCTCAACATATTAATCGCATTTCAAATACTAAATGGAAACTGTAAATATTAATTTAAACATATTTTTAAGAAGTTTCTTAAATAGTCAAATGGATAGCTGACAATTCTGACTTTATTCTCCCTTATCCTCATGTTGTAGATTCTTCCGAATTTTCCTTTTGTGCTCCACGGAGAAAGTAACAGAATATGGGTTCAGAACAACATGAGGGTGAGTAAATAATTACAGAATTGTCACTTTTGGGTGAGTTATTGCTTTAAATCTGTGAGACTCAGAGAGAACTCTGACCTTTGAGTTTGATTGGCCCCAGCGTCACAGTGTTGGTGTGGTAGGTGCTGTCAATCTGCAGTGATCTCTTGCGACGGAAGTGGCAACCTTGGCGACAGCGAGAGTTGTAATCGTTACCGGGGCAGATGGTCACTTTACACTGCAGGTACACAGAGGAATGAGTCCGGAGGAACTTGAAAGCCTGGAAACGGAACTGAGCATAATAGTGCTGACCGCTGGTGTAGGAATAATATGTGTTATCTCTGGGACATCTACAACCAAGGAAGGAAAATTGAGATAAAGAATTTGAATTCGGAAAATAAGTACAGTCACACACTGAGTTGGTAGTTCAAATAAAAGGGTGTCACATTTAAGAATTTAAAGGTCTCACCCATTACGCAGCAGGTCATATGAACGATCTTTGAAGTCATTGGGATTTGGAGATGCTACACAAGTGTCCAGGAATAGATCCAGGCTGTTGTCAGGCTTGTTTAGCTTGACTTGAACATATAGAAGCTGGTTCAGGTTCACTTCATATGGAGAGTCATAAATTTGTTGGTAGAAACCGCTGGAGGTGTAGAAGGCTATGCTGGCATTGAAGTGCCCCGTTCCTGTGATGTTGGCATTGATGTTCTCCCTGGCCCTGTACAATATCTGGACCATAGTGTCCGGCTCCATTCGGCAGCCCACATGTAGTAGGAACTGTGACTGACGAGTGATCTCACCCGACTGAGACTGAGATGCCCGCACATTATTGGTGTAGGACACATAACTGTTCATCATCTAGGAGAGAGAAACAGAGAGCAGGTGATCTTGGGTGGTAAACATGCCCCATCAATGATGCTTAGATTTATGGTATCTAACTAATCCGACACAGCATATTCAAGTATTAAAAGCTGACAGCTAAAGGCAAAATTATTCAATTTTGAAAACATAAGTAACGGCTTTTATATCAGCAATGAAGCCATGCTGGATCTGACACACATGTAGATCACACCTGTTTGGCGGTTCCACATGTGTCGAGAGAGAAGCTGAACACAACCTCAGTACTGGTAATACTGGGTCTGCAAAGATGATCATCCACATAAAGGTCATTTCCACTGAATCCAAGTGAGTTCAGGTAAGACCGTTGAATGACAATGACCATGTTGTCTGAGGAGCAATCCACACGACCTGCAAAGCAAAGAGTTTCAACCCCTCAATGTAATTTTGCACTTTTAAAGTATTTTATTTCAATACTTTTTAGAAATTATTCCATTAAGCAAAAATGAAAACCAAATATGGCAACAGAAGGGATCAAATACAAGTTACAGTAGCTGTGTTACAGAATTATTTCAAAAAGAGACTTTGAAATACCTTCATCTGCAGTCAGAGAGCTTGTGAAAAAGGCCTTAAAACCATGGCTGACTCCAGAGTAGTCACTCCTGAAGACAACAGTCAGGTATCGTGAAGAAGAGTGAAACACCTGGTGGGTGGTGTCGTTGAAGCAGACCTTTCCCAGCTGTGAATGACCAGTGGAAGAGCCGTCATGTACAGAGATGTAGTCACAGTTACAGCAGCGCTCCAATCTGAAAGAAACAGAAACAGAAAAACTGTTACCCCAAACAGAAAAGAGGAACCCTATTGAACAATGTCGTTCATCATCTGTACTTCGGAGGACAACACCACCCCTACTCCAGACGCAGAGGCCATTCGCGGACAGTGAGCCATACTCCACCCCGGAGCCAAGCGACACATCTGACCAGGTGCTCGAGTCGCCAACATTGCCTGTCCCAGAGGGAGTACTCGTAGAGTATGATGGCATGGAATGGAGCCCCTCCACTGATGAGAGCTTCTACTAGCATCTGACTGTGAATTTAAGGTATTTGAGAAGGAGATACCCCTTTTTCTCCTGCCCCCACTGGTCCCTCCCAGCTTAGAACTTCCTGTGTCCCTAGAGTTCCCTTCCAACCTCCCCTTCCTAAGCCAGCCAGTTCCCCAGCCCTGCCACCGCAGGTTCCTGTCAGTCCCTCGGTGCATCCCAAGTTGATTCCATTCAGTGGTGTGAATCTGCCTCAAACCAGCTCTGCCTCGGTGTGAGGACCCCCTGTCTCCGCCTCTTGCCACCAACCCCAAACTCCACCACGACACTTCGACCCATCGGTTGTGCCTCAATGCTCCCTCGTCTCACCATGGCCCATCATACAACCAGCTCTGCCGCTGTTCCCTCCTGCGAATTTGGAGGGAACCCAAGCCCCCCACCCCCCCCCTCCCTTTTTGAGATGTACTTTGGAATCAGTGATCGACTGCAATTTGTAAGTAATTTACCCAGCATAGAGAGAGATAAATAGATAGATATTCCTCACTTACTGCACATCAGCAAATGACAGGAAGATTCTCTGTCCTTGCTGAGCAGAGAGATACCACACACAGTAGGCATTGTCATGATAATAGTTTGGGTAGTTTGGACTGGAAAACAGCCCAGATCCATACAGGTGTCCTCCACAATGTTGAGAAACTGGTAATAACAAAATTAGTAAAATTTTACAGTTTAGAAACAAGTTTTATAAGAATCAGAAAATAATGTGATCTGAATTTAGCCTCAGGCATTACACAAACTAAAGACAGTAGTACCTGTTGTTAAGTCTCTCTGTGTTGTATACGATGGGCAATACCCTGATTAAAGGAAGGAAGATAAAACTGGGTTAGCACCATAAGTGTAATGTTTGAGTCTTCAAGAAGTGGTTTGGACTAAAATGAAGCCCATGGCCACATAATGCTTTAACTAAAATGCAGTATGTACATTCTTCAAAACATCATTTGTATAACAAGTTATGAATAAGAGCTTCCTTAAAGGGATACTCCACTTTTTTTGGAAATAGGCTCATTTTACAACTCCCCAGTTAAACAGTTGGGTTTTACCGTTTTCGAATCCATTTAGCCGGAATCAGTATCAGTATCAGTAACCAGACAGTTTCTGGTCTCATTTACTTCCATAGTTTCTGGTCTCATTTACTTCCATAAAAAATATACTATGGAAATCAATGAGACCAGAAACTGTCTGGTTATTGATATTCTTCTAAATATCAGAAAATCGGCTGAATGGATTCGAAAACGGTAAAACTCAACTGTTTAACTCTGGGGGAGTGTTGAAATGAAAAAAAGGGGAGTGTATTTCCAAAAAAGTGCAGTATCCCTTTAAGTATTTCTGTGGTATATGTTATGTGGTGATGATAGAATCATTTAATACCACATTTCTATAAACTTTTTTTATTTTATTTAACTACAACTTTAGACATAAACGTGGTTATTTTTCCTTTCATTTATCTTATTGGAATAAATGCCATTCTGACACATTTGTTTTATTCAGCAATAAATGCTTCAACTCCATGGCAAGTTTTAACAGATTTTTCATCTGTTTTTGAGGAACTTACAGTGAAAGTCAGGGCAACAGTTGCCATCATACTGACAGTTGTGGGTGCATGAGCAGCTGCTGAAGTTGTGTCCACAGTTATACATGCAGGAGGGAGATTCTGTGTCAGAGGGAGGAACAGATTTTACTCACTGTCATCAATATGTGTGTGATGTACAACTTATTGGGTCACAATCACATGGTGTGTATATTTAGTTAGAAAAGCAAAACTCATTACTGCATTTAAGTAAACTGTTGTTCATTCAACTGATCCATTTCATGTCATTAATCTCATTACTGTTTCCCTTAAATTCAGCTAAATGGCAGCAGCACCTGTTGTATCTAGCCAGTAAGCTGTTGCCGGTCCTGTTGTTGAGCACAAGCCTGTTTAAAGAGAATAGATAAAACTGAAAAGGTAAGAAACAACTTTAGCAAAATCACATTTTTGTCACAGAAAATACACTGACCCATGTGCTCACTACAGGAAAGATTACATTTTTGTTTACAGAATTTTATCTTAAAGTGTCTGTCAGATCAAGGGGAACTCACTGTTGTAGTCAGGGCAACAGTTGCCATAGTACTGACAGTTGTAGGTGCATGAACAGCTGCCAAGGTTGTATCCACAGTTGTACATGCAGGAGGGAGCTATAGAGAGGAACACAGTTTACTCATGATGTCATCAATGTATGGTTAATCTAACTGAATGGCAGCAGCAGGACCTGTTGTATCAATCCATGTTGTTTCTGTTGTTTCTGCTGTTGTAGTTGAGCAGTATCCTGTGAAAAGAGAAGCGATAAAACTGAATTTCAAATTAAATGAATTTGAATTTCAAACCATTTTTCAAATGAAATGAATTTAAAATAATTTGGTTTACTAAAGTCCATTTCATTATAGCTATTTCAAATGAATTTGTCCTGATCGAGAGGAACTCACTGTTGTAGTCAGGGCAACAGGAGCCATATAGTTGACAGTGGTCGTCACATCCACAGAGAGGAAGACTTTGCCCACAGATATTCTCACAGGAGTATTCATCTGTTATTGAATGTATAGATATGTTTTTGAGAAAGTATTACACTTTTCAGATGATCATATATTGGCAAAATAATGTCTTATAAACTAAAGTAGTTACAGGTAGGCCTTGACTGCATTACAGTTCCATATTACTTCTCCAAACGATATCAGTTATTTCAAAGGTCCTTACAGCCAACAACAGCAAAAGAACCAAAACCCACTACGACACTGACTGACCAAGCAAATAAATATAGTATAAAAAGGATAAAAATTACAAATTATTTCCTTGCTTTTTGCCACAAAATTATGTTTTATTATGTACGGAATGCATATAGCCCACTGTCTTTCTCCCAATCTCTCCCATTCAAACGCACACTTACAGTAGTCACACTCGCACAGAAACGTGTAGTCAACTCCTGCTCTCAGTTGCTCAAGTCTCAATATATGCTCTAAAATTACGTTTTGGAATTAGCAATGGAGGCTTGGGTTTAGATGCATAAGAAAAGTTCAAACCGGAGTCAGACAATTGTGGAGAGACTCAAGAAGAAGTGACATGTAGAATGGAACAGGATATTTCTGAATGGTTAGTTGATGAATTTATGTAGATGATGTGGAGTCAACTATTCTAGTCATTGATTAGCATATTCTGACATGACAATCTATAAATCACGTTCCCGGAGGAGCGGCATTATTTTTCTAATAATTCAACGACCCGTCGTCATTTATTCCTTAGCTACATAATTAGAATTGAGCAAGTAGAGCAGGGTTCCTCAAACTCGGTCCTGGAGGGCCACTGTCCTGCAGAGTTTAGATCAAGGTTGGAGCTAAACACTGCAGGGACAGTGGCCCTCAAGGACTGAGTTTGAGGAACCCTGAAGTAGAGAAAGGAATTATCAAATAAGAGTCATTGGTGTACCTTCTGTACGTGGCCATTCAGTTGTCGATGTAGTTGACCATTTAGTTGTCAATGTATTTGACCATTCAGTTGTCGCAGAGCAGTAGTCTGTATAAAGGGAAAATATGTAAAAATCAATTTAATATCTGGAAATATACTGCATTAAACCATACACTCAATGCAAGAGATATTTCTGTATAGTACTGTACTGTCTGATCAAGAGGAACTCACTGTCGTAGTCAGGGCAACAGTTGCCATAGTACTGACAGTTGTAGGTGCATGAACAGCTGCCAAGGTTGTATCCACAGTTGTACATGCAGGAGGGAGCTATAGAGAGGAACACAGTTTACTCATGATGTCATCAATGTATGGTTAATCTAACTGAATGGCAGCAGCAGGACCTGTTGTATCAATCCATGTTGTTTCTGTTGTTTCTGCTGTTGTAGTTGAGCAGTATCCTGTGAAAAGAGAAGCGATAAAACTGAATTTCAAATTAAATGAATTTGAATTTCAAACCATTTTTCAAATGAAATGAATTTAAAATAATTTGGTTTACTAAAGTCCATTTCATTATAGCTATTTCAAATGAATTTGTCCTGATCGAGAGGAACTCACTGTTGTAGTCAGGGCAACAGGAGCCATATAGTTGACAGTGGTCGTCACATCCACAGAGAGGAAGACTTTGCCCACAGATATTCTCACAGGAGTATTCATCTGTTATTGAATGTATAGATATGTTTTTGAGAAAGTATTACACTTTTCAGATGATCATATATTGGCAAAATAATGTCTTATAAACTAAAGTAGTTACAGGTAGGCCTTGACTGCATTACAGTTCCATATTACTTCTCCAAACGATATCAGTTATTTCAAAGGTCCTTACAGCCAACAACAGCAAAAGAACCAAAACCCACTACGACACTGACTGACCAAGCAAATAAATATAGTATACAAAAGGATAAAAATTACAAATTATTTCCTTGCTTTTTGCCACAAAATTATGTTTTATTATGTACGGAAAGCATATAGCCCACTGTCTTTCTCCCAATCTCTCCCATTCAAACGCACACTTACAGTAGTCACACTCGCACAGAAACGTGTAGTCAACTCCTGCTCTCAGTTGCTCAAGCCTCAATATATGCTCTAAAATTACGTTTTGGAATTAGCAATGGAGGCTTGGGTTTAGATGCATAAGAAAAGTTCAAACCGGAGTCAGACAATTGTGGAGAGACTCAAGAAGAAGTGACATGTAGAATGCAACAGGATATTTCTGAATGGTTAGTTGATGAATTTATGTAGATGATGTGGAGTCAACTATTCTAGTCATTGATTAGCATATTCTGACATGACAATCTATAAATCACGTTCCCGGAGGAGCGGCATTATTTTTCTAATAATTCAACGACCCGTCGTCAATTATTCCTTAGCTACATAATTAGAATTGAGCAAGTAGAGCAGGGTTCCTCAAACTCGGTCCTGGAGGGCCACTGTCCTGCAGAGTTTAGATCAAGGTTGGAGCTAAACACTGCAGGGACAGTGGCCCTCAAGGACTGAGTTTGAGGAACCCTGAAGTAGAGAAAGGAATTATCAAATAAGAGTCATTGGTGTACCTTCTGTACGTGGCCATTCAGTTGTCGATGTAGTTGACCATTTAGTTGTCAATGTATTTGACCATTCAGTTGTCGCAGAGCAGTAGTCTGTATAAAGGGAAAATATGTAAAAATCAATTTAATATCTGGAAATATACTGCATTAAACCATACACTCAATGCAAGAGATATTTCTGTATAGTACTGTACTGTCTGATCAAGAGGAACTCACTGTCGTAGTCAGGGCAACAGTTGCCATAGTACTGACAGTTGTAGGTGCATGAACAGCTGCCAAGGTTGTATCCACAGTTGTACATGCAGGAGGGGAAATCTAGCAGAAACAGATATTATCCATGAAGCCCTTAATACATGTATGACTACAATAGCCATTAACATGTGTGTGACGTTTCACTATAGGGAAATCAGTCTATCTAAACCCAGGAAACCCGTAAAAGTTTTGAATCTGATTAGAATAGATGTAGGTTCACCTGTTGTAGTTGCCCAAGTCGCTGTCTGTGAGCAGTAGCCTGTATAAAAGTATAGTAATAGAGTTTTGTTGTACATTATGTATTAAAAATTTAAAGTTACATATATGAATAAGAGAGATTTGTGAATTCTGATTGATCTGATCAGGAACTCACTGTCGTAGTCATAACAACAGTTTCTATTGTCCTGACAGGAATCATCACATGAACAATTGCCAAAGGAGTATCCACAGTTGTGCCTGCATGAATTGGAATCTAACAAACAGAGAAGTAGATTTTAGCCATTATATTATGAGTAGGAATGGTAATCATTAATGATTCAAACAATTCTGCTTTCTTAACTGTTACAGTAATGATTCTTTAGTATAAGGAATTTGGAAAGTTGCAAAAGGTGTTTACACAGGCTTTTAATGACTTGAATGATAAAATACTACTGACAAAATTCATATTGAGCCTACACTGTCATATGAAACAGTAAGCACATTGATTTAAGCTTTCAATAAATCTGATTCAATAAACAGAAGCGGTTCATAAAAGTAATTCGTTCCGGAATTCGTCTACACTATTGCGCTGTTTATTTCTGAATCATTGCTCTAAATATTTTTGATTCAGTCTGGCATTGTGTTAAATATGAAATTCGTTCTATTCATTTTATTTAATTGCTTACCTACAAAGACCCAGCTTGCATGAAATCCTCTTCTTGATATACTGTGGTCACTGTAGAAAAGCACAGTCAGGTCATTATTGCTGGAGTTGTAGCGTTTGTTCTTGTACTCTCGTATTTCATCCAGTAAAGGGCTGAGGGTGGAAGGACCATCAAATAATCTGATGTAATCACAGCATGTTTCCAAACTAGCAAACAGAGGAGAGAGAAAACAAATGCAAATTAATAGAATAATTCTCAGAATATTTGAAAACATACATTTTGTGTTCACAAAATACTTCACAAAATCTTTATTTTGCTTGAGAAGATGAAGTTACACACTTCAGGTGTTCTGTTTAATCTCATAAATTCAGAAATTAAATCAAGTGACAAAACGGATAGAGATAGTGGTAGATAACGAATGATTCCTACAAAATATCGGTAAAGGTCAATTGCACAGTTGTCGCCCCTGCGCCATGAATGGTCCATGTGCATCGTGCGTTATCAGGGTAGTTACTAGGGTAACTGGGGCTGAAAAAATCACCCATCCAGTCGGTCATAGAGCCACCACACGGTCCTGAATACAGAGGGGGAAACAGAAAATAACAAATTTTACACAATCACAACAACTTAATGAAGTGACTCACTCCTGACAAAAACTATAGACAGACAGACAGATACCTGGAGACCCTTCAGTGGAATACAGCCTGTCATCTATAAAACAAAATAAATGTATCATGCAAATTGAAGTTTCAACATTGTATAAAAAACAGCCATGTCATGCACTAAATTATGTTAATTGATTTACCTGTTGTCCTGTCATCTATAAAAACAAAATAAATGTATCATGAAAATTGAAGTTTCAACACTGTATAAAAAACAGCCTTAAAAAACACATGTTATACACTAAATTATGTTCATTGATTTACCTGTTGTCCATGACCCAATGGGATTTGCTGTAATATGACATATAGACATAATATTTAATGTAATGCTTGTCTTTATAATGTATCAATACATGTATACATGTTTTTATCGATGATTACTGCATATGAACTAAGAAATTATATATAATTTAAGCAAAACTTATGATGTCAAGCCGATGATTGTCATATATTGTACAATTTTTTCCTGTGAATAATAATCTTACCTTGATAGGCAGTTAGAAGCAGACAGAGAAGGAGAGTCAGGGCTTCCATCTTTCTCTTCTGAACAAGTTTGTCTTCAAACTTTCAATCATGACTTTTATAGTCAAAACCATCCTGAGACGGATTTCCTTATGACACATCAATATCCTGGAGCCTGTGCTGATTAAAAATTATAGAGGCATAATCGTGGAAAAGACACAGCTGAATATTATGCAACTTTCATCTTTACTTTTGACTGTATGATTTTTTTATAGATATTTCTGTTGACACAAAGTTAAGCATTATGGAGCGATCATATTAATGATGTTACATTGTTCTTAGCCAAAGCTGTCTAAATTACATTACATAAATATGTACAATTTGACAAAAATGTGAAATTAAGAAGCAAAAAAGATGAAGTGGTGTGAGACGAGAGACATGAAAGTAAAGACTCTCTCAAAAAACCAAACCAAAACAAAACAAAAAAACAATGTAGTATAATAATGGGTTCACACTCATCCTGTCTGTTCTCTGATGCAAATGCCAAAGAAAGAAGAACATTATTTCAGAATAAGTAGAGGAAATAAGTAAAGAAGTAGATTTCAAAATATATTTCTTGATTTAAAACAAAAATGTCTTTTGAAGCAAAGTCGCATTGACACAGCACTATTTGAACAAAATAATTCATGTCTTTTTTTTTTAACAATAGAGTCATGGTGTCCATTACAGAGGTCATAGCATATAACATATGAATAAAATATCTTTCTTTTTTTCATTTGTTTCTTATGCCTCTTGGGCCTCATGAGGATATTAAGATAGGATAGGCTACAAGTCTGTCTCCTGCATGAGTGACGGTCCACCATCAGGCTTAATTAGGCTCTTTAAAGCTACACAAAATTATTGAAATAAACACACAGTCCACTTCCCTATTGTGTGGATTTTGGAAGATAAAAAATTTAAATTGTTGTCGAAATGGCAAGAGCAACACACCGCTAATCCAAATGTAAGATTTTTTTCTTTAAATGTCTCTTTCTCTCTCACACATATGTAGGCAAGTTATAAACTCTTTAGACTTTTAATGATTAGTGCTTTTTTTAATTTTGAGGGGTGTAAAAACATCCCTTATTTTGGGGATGGATTCCGGGAAATCTCCCTTATTTTCAATGTTCAATGTTGACAGCTATGGTGGACGCATATCAATCGTTATCTTTATAGTTAAGGAACTACTGTATCTTTATCGTTATAGTTGTGGTGTGAACTCTCTTATTCTTTAATATGGTGAACGATTACCAAGCACGTTAACTATAAAGATAACTATAAAGATAATTCCAAACATTTTTTGGGATTATATCTTTATAGTTATAGTTATCGTGCTTGGTGTGAACGGACCTTAGAAACAGACAGAGAATGAAATTCAGAGCGTCCATCTTTTTCTTCTGAACGAGTTTGTCTTTAAACTTTAAGACGGTACTTATAGTCAAAACCATCCTAAGGAGGATTTCCTTGACACATCAATATCCTGGAGCCTGTGCTGGGAAAAAGCTTTAAAGCAGCTTAATTGTGGAAAAGACACAGCTGGATGTGTTTTATAACACTTTGTGTAAATGTATGGACTTATTTGTTGACACAGTTGTTTGAGATGATCATAAATTGCAATAGAGCCTAAACATTTCCACATACTTACTCTCATTACCACTCCTCGCTTGCTATGGTATTTAGATTAGGGAATGGAAATATGAAAACTTACTTATTGTATAAGAGATTTTCTTCAACAAACCTGAGACCAGTCCACCTTATTAGGTACTTTGATAGTACTGGGTTGGACCCCCTTTTTGCCTTCAAAACTGCCTTAATTCTTCATATCATATTCAAATGGGGCTGGAAAGATTTTGGTCCATCACTGAAAAATGGCCATCTTTTACCATCTTTTATTAAATTATGAGCGAGAATTAATCCATGGCCCCATACCCAAAGCCAGTCAGGTAGAACAACATTTCAAAATTCTGAAGGACACATAAACGTTTATGCATCTATGCAAAAGACAAGAACATAAATGTAAAAGCGTGGAAAAGACACAGCTGACTGTGTTGTAAAATAAAGGCTCCTGTTAATTGACACATGCAAATTTGCAAATGATGAGGCCAAAATGACACAGCTGCCCTTCCCAGTGTGCACAACAGCATGTTTTCTACATTTTTTTTGTGTTTCATTCAAAATATTCATGTATAGAGTGCAAGAATGTCCAAACAGATTACAAATATTTTAATTTATTAATCATATATATACAGTTTTCAGTTGTAAATGACAAATGACAAATTCTATAAATTAACGTTCAGAATACTTATGCTTATAGTGTTCATAATCTGTCTCCAGCGAATTAATGTTTACCAGTAATTCCTGTTTTTACCTTTAATGCCAAGGCCCTGTTAGCTTGCAAGCACCTGCAAAAATGTATCCAAAAATTTTTTTATACATATAACCTTTTTTCAGGTTTAAAGCCTGTTTTGTCCCATGTTCCATGCAGCACTCACATAACTAGATTAAGCTACATAATTTCAATGCTGAGGACATTTAAAGCCATAATTAAACATCAAAATAAATAGTGTTTTATTCCGGTTTTTCTTACAGTCATTTTGTACCAATGAAATTATTTCAAAGTCAGGAACTTGACAAAAAATATAAAAAAATACTATTCAAAAAGTTCCTGTGTGAAAGAATGGAAGAGAGAGAGAGAGAGAGAGATACATACATACATACACATACATGTGTATGTATGTATATATATGTATGTATATATATATATATATATATATATATATATACGTATAATTTTGCACTAATGTAAATTGTTTACCATGTATATTTTCACAGGTAACCTACTTTAAATTATCTTCTCTCTGTCTCACTAAATAGGTTTATCTTTTAGAATACGAATGCGTTCATTTCAAATAAGTTGCTGGAATATTCAGGGTCTTCACTCTTCAACGTTTGGTTCTAAAAGTACAGACCCAGAATTTCTAAAACATATAAAAGATGTTGACATCATAATCCTCACTGAAACCTGGTGTCGAAATGATGCGCTTACCTACTGTCCCTCAGGCTACTATGAAGTGATTGTCCCCTCAGTCAAAATAAGTACAGTCCACCGTGGACGAGACTCGGGGGGAGTTCTGGTGTGGTACAGGGAGGATCTGGCCAAACACATTTCAACAGTCTCAGTTGGAAAATTTCATTGCTGATTAAAAATAAACCAAATTGGCATTTCTACTAGAGAAACATATCTCTGTGCCATCTACATTCCCCTGCAGAATCCCCTTACCATGAGGAGGAATACCTCAACATCCACATAGAAATCAGCCATTTCCAGGCCCAGGGACACATGCTGCTGTGTGGAGACTTCAATGCAAGAACTGGATCTGAACCTGATGACATAGATCCAAAGGGTGATGAATGTCTTTGGCCAGGACCCCCCGAGTATCACAGGAAAACTTCCACCGAGAAACAACCTAGACCAGACAGTAAATAAAACTGGTAGAGAGCTGGTGCAGCTCTGCCGAGACTCAGGCCTGTACATACTCAACGGCAGGATCCGAGGGGACTCTTTAGGGAGGTTCACGTGTTGTTCAGGTCTTGGAGCTAGTGTAGTTGACTACGCCATCACTGACATGGACCCATCCTCCTTCAATGCATTCACTGTCAAACAGCAAACTCCGCTTTCTGACCATAACCAAACTAACATTTATATCAAAACGCGTCACACACCAGAACAAAACAGACTGGAAACCTGCCGAATGTATCAGGTCCAGCACAGATACAAATGGGCTCCGGACAGCACAGAAAAGTTTGTCCAAGCCCTCAGTTCTGAAGAACTAAAAAATCAAATAAATACATTTATTACTAAGAAATTCGAAACAACTAAAGATGGTGTTAATTCGGCTACAAATGAAATCAATAACATATTTAATAAAGCAGCACAGAAAAGTGAATTGAAAAAGAAAGGCAAAAAATACACAAAAAATACTCCAAAAGATGAAAAATGGTTTGACTCAGACTGCAAAACATTGAGAAAACAACTTAGAAAATTATCAAATCTGAAACATAAAGAACCAAACAACACTGACTTAAGAACTGAATACTTTTCAAAACTAAAAATATATAAAGACACAATTAGAGTGAAGAAGCAACACCATCTGACCAAAAGTATAGAAGAATTAGAACACTCAATAAATCAGAATCAGTTCTGGGATATGTGGAATAATCTGAGCACCGCTAAACCACAAGACCTACCAATACAAGATGGAGAAATTTGGACAAATCATTTTGAAAACTTATACAGAGAAATCCCATCAAAACAACTCAATGACAATTATAATCGGATCAAACTAAATCTACAAACTTATGAAGAGACAATTAAAAATAATCAAAATCCACTTGACTTCCCAATTACACAGGAAGAATTGGCAAACAAACTCAAAAGCCTAAAAGGAAATAAATCTTGTGGTCCTGACAGCATTCTAGGTGAGATGCTGAAACACAGCACACCGGAGCTGCAGGCGGCGCTGCTCAAACTATTCAACATCGTACTCCGTTCAGGCTGTTTTCCTGACATCTGGAGCCAAGGACTTATTACCCCAATTCACAAGAGTGGAAATAAATTAGACCCTAATAATTTCAGAGGCATTTGTGTGAGCAGTAATCTGGGGAAGTTATTTAGCAGTATTTTAAACAATAGAATTGTAAGCTTCCTTAACGAACACAATGTCCTGAGCCCGAGTCAGATTGGCTTCATTCCAAAACACAGAACTACTGACCACATTTACACCCTACACACCCTAATCAATAAACACGTAAAACAGACCAAAAACGGAAAAATATTTGCATGCTTTGTCGATTTCAAAAAAGCATTTGATTCTATTTGGCACAACGGATTATATTACAAACTTTTACAAAGCGGTGTAGGGGGTAAAGTCTATGACATTATAAAATCAATGTATTCGAACAACAAATGTGCAATTCGAATTGGCAACAAACATACAAAATTCTTTACCCAAAAGAGAGGAGTGCGGCAGGGCTGTAGCCTGAGTCCAACGCTGTTCAACATCTACATTAATGAACTAGCGGTGCAGTTGGAGCAGTCTACAGGCCCTGGACTCACCCTACAGGACAGGAGCATCAAGCTCTTGCTGTACGCAGACGACCTGGTGCTGCTGTCACCCACTGCACAGGGACTACAGCAGCACCTGGACCTGCTGCACAACTACTGCCAGAACTGGGCCCTGGCAGTCAACCTCAAAAAGACCAACATTATGGTCTTTCAGAAGAAGCCCAGATGTCAGGAACACAGATACCAGTTCAGTCTAGGCAGCACCGGCCTAGAGCACACGATGCAGTACACTTACCTCGGCCTGGTCATCACTGCATCGGGGAGTTTCAGTCTGGCAGTGAATGCTCTTAAAGATAAAGCTCGCAGAGCTCTATACGCCATTAAGAAGAAATTCCAAAACTCTGAATTACCGATTCCAATCTGGTGTAAAATCTTTGATAGTGTGATTCAGCCCATTGCGCTGTATGGAAGTGAGGTGTGGGGTCCACTCAGTGATCAGAGCTACACTAGATGGGACAGACATCCAACAGAAGCCCTACACACAGAATTCTGCAAAATGATACTAAAACTACAAAGGAAAACACCCAATAATGCGTGTAGGGCAGAATTAGGCCGATTCCCATTGATTATTAATATGCAAAAAAGATCCCTCAAATTCTGGATGCATCTAAAATCAAGTCCCACAGAATCGCTACATTTTAAAGCATTACAGACCCAAGAACTGAACCCCGAAAAGAGTCTTCTCAGTCAGCTGGTCCTGAGACTCACTAACTCGACTAACCTTACTAACACTCACCAGTCTCAGACCAGCACTGCTCCTCACACACACATCAGAATAAACCAAATTACTAAACAGTCTAAAAATACATATCTGGAACATTGGGATCAGGAAACCAAAACACAAAGTAAACTACAATTCTATCGAAATCTGAAATCAAATTATGAAATGGAGGAATATCTCCAGAGTGTGAGAGACACAAAGCAGAGACAGATCCTGAGCAAGTACAGGCTGAGTGAACACAGTCTAGCCATCGAGACCGGCAGACACAGAAAGAGCTGGCTACCCCGAGAGCAAAGGGTGTGTGTTCAGTGTAGCACAGGAGAGATTGAAACAGAGACACACTTCCTCCTCCACTGTCACAAATACAGCTCGATTAGAGACCTCTACTTCAATAAACTTAATAAACTAATACAGAACTTTACAGCCATGACTGAAGTAGAGCAGATAAAGATAATACTAGGAGAGGGACAGACCGCAGCACTGGCTGCCAGATACGTGTGTGCGTGCCACAGCCTGAGAGACAGTAGGTGAATGTGTGACCTCAGTGTGTCTCCCTAATGTCCACCACAGTGACCCTCAGTAATGTGTGTATGTGTGTATATATATGTTAAAACACTGTGGTATCAAACGTTCATAGAATTTATAATCTGTTACACTGTTATTTTTTTGCAATTAATTTAATTTGTACATTTCAATTTAAGTTGTTATAATACTTTGTTTTTATTGATGTCTTCACTATGCTATGTGTTACAAGCTTTGGCAATATTGTAATATGTACAGTCATGCCAATAAAGCAATTTGAATTGAATTGAATTGAATTGAGAGAGAGAGAGAGAGAGAGAGAGAGAGAGAGAGAGAGAGAGAGAGAGAGAGAGAGAGAGAGAGAGAGAGAGAGAGAGAGAGAGAGAGAGAGGGAGAGAGAGAGAGAGCAGACACGTGGTTTTAACCTGACGCCGTGACGTATACAGCCACTTCCGCTCCTGCAGGAAAAACACTCGTGAAGTTTGTGAAGGGGGACACGAGCTGGAGATGGGCTGAACCGAATCACTTCAGCGATAATAAACCGAGTGAGTAGTTTGAGAAATCAGCCTTTTTTGCAAATCTGTCTCTATATGGGTGTGTTTATGGATATGGGTTGTGTTAAAATGTAAACACGGATCCTGCTGTTGGTTAATGGCAGGATTAAATGGAGACAGGGCGAGGTTGGGCTTTTCCGCGCTGTTGCTAACTGACAAACGTGGATTTTACCCTTGTAATAGAATTACAATGTTTATCTAAATAAAGTTAATATACCAAGAGCATCATATAGAGTTCATAACTGTGTGCACGCTTCCATCGCCACAATAACGATATGAGATCATAAACGTAAATCAAGGACACATTTGGTCTCGTAATGTTGTGTGTGAGTTGCGTTCTGTCTTATCTGTCTGATTGTGCTTTTTGTGACTTATCTCATTTAAAATGTATGTTTACGTTCATTTTAACATTTTAATGATGGCAGTTTATGTAAGTATTTGTAAAAATTAAGATATTTTTGTTATGCTTGTGTTGTCTATTTTGTAATATTGGGATACATTATAGGCTAATGTATATTTCATTGTTTGTGTCTATAGTTTCGTTTCTGTTGAATATTTAACAAAAATCCTTATCCAGTAATCACAAACAACTGAAAATATGGTATATATGAACTCAACCACTGTTGCAACTTTGATGTTGTACCGAGTTATGGTTTTGTGGTATTGTAAGCATTCTGTTTTTGACTTTCCCTTACCGCAGACCAGCCAATGGACACCTGACTTAAAATGTGTTGAAATGTTGTGTAACAGCAGGTTATTGTGTTTGAGGACATCACTTTTTGTTGGTGTTTGTAAACAGACATGATGTGTGCATCGGTCAGCAAACATTATATTGACTTTGGTTTACATATGGTGAAGAGTGAAGACATCCAACATTACTTTCCATGATCGTGCCATTTGATAGTTACAGATTATTAAACATGACTTGCAGGCAGATGTATTTGTTTGATGCACATTCATACTGTATCATGTGAGAAGCATTCTTTGATTTCAGTGTATTTTTACCACTTTACTGTAGTCTTCATTTGTTTCCATTCATTAATGTTTGGTTAGTTAACCAAATAAATAAGGGAAAGAAAGAGAGATTGTTTTTCTTGTGCATTTCCTTGAGATATGTTTACTGTACAGATGAAATATGCAGTTTGTATGTTTATGCTTAATATGGTATATAGCCTACTATATTTAAAAAATGTATATTCATAACCTGAAATAAAATTATGAATGGAAGCAAATAGAAAACTAAAATTGAACAAAACTACAAAGAAAATAAAAACTCTCCTTACAAAAAAAAAAAAAAATCAATTATACTTTTGCTATTTTTAGCAACTAACTAACCAAGAAACTAACCAGAATTAAATAAAGTCAGTTTCAAAACAGGATTAAAAGGATCGTTGACACATAAATTAAAATTCGGACATCAATTACTCGCCCTCATATCATTCCAATCCAAACCCATAAGATGTCTGTTCATCTTTGAAACACAAATGAAGAAATATTTACTGAAATCTTCTTTCCATCCACTTAAAGCCACACTGTGGAACTTTTGGCCACTAGTGGTGCTCGACCTGTAACTTTCACGTCTAGCGTCCCTAGAGGCCACATGCTCTGCAGCACTGTCGCAAATTAAAGTCAACAAACAGTCAACCGGTCAGCCTCCCGTGTCTTTAGATTGTGTGTGCTTGCAGTGTTTGAGGCGGGCCAGGCAGCCTTGCAGCGCTCGATTCCCTTATAGCAGTCTGCTGAGAGAGAGAGAGTAGGGTGAGTGGGGCTTATCACGTCTGTGAGTGAATGTGGGCACGGGACAGCGGGCACATTCACTGCACTGAAAACACCGTCGGCCTGAGCTGACTGTAATGTTATGTGTGTTGGTTTATTTTTACAGAAACCGTGGGACATGTGGTGTGTTTGTGGGTACTACTGAGTCGTGGGCACGTTCACTACATTTAATGTAACGTTACATTTGACATGAGTCGATTTTATTTGTGTGAGTCCTGCACTGAGACGGGCTGTGTTTTTTTGTCGAATTGAACACTGGGCTGTGGGCATTTTGTTACACTCATAACGCCATCGGCTGTGGCCGGAATACCAGAAAATACTACACTGCTTATATGAATTTATCTGGGTTACCTTGGAAATGGCATTTGTGTTCAGGCAAGCATCAGCATCGGTCGAGCACCCTTCCTCTTTTAGCTCACGTCAGCGAGCGAAGCGAACGCTGGACCAATGTTAATCCTCGTCCTGGCTTTTAATTTGAAACTCTCCCCTTTTCTTTTTTTAGTTTCCTCTGATAAAACCGTTGCCGACCTCCTTTTAGCTGTTGTTCGGCCATCACGAAAACATACAGACAGCAATCAAACGCGAGTTGAGCACTAACGTCAGAATCTGAGGAAGTTATGGGTGTGACAAATGCGGAAGTGATGTATGCCGTAAAGCTGTCGAATTTTGTAGTTCTTTTTGTGCTCGGGTTCCTACCCGAAACCCGAAGTTACAAAGTGCTAGTAAAAGCAATACAGACACCTTCAGGCTACGGCAGACGTGTCATTCAACCTATTGTAAGTCGATGTACCATCTCAATGGGTTTTGGTAATATATTCTAAACGTTGAAGTTCCAAAGTGTGGCTTTAGTTTAATGTCCATTCCATTAAAACTTTGACACTCCAAAAAGTACTAAGTAATTTGAGCGATTTTATCCAAATCATTTCTTTATGTACTTTTTGAAGTGTCAAAGTTTTGCTGGGAAAGGACTTTAAATTGAGGTACAAAGTCTTTCAGGTTTCATTAAAATCTCTTAATTTGTTGTGTTTCAAATGTAAACAAAAGTCTTTACTAAAGGTTTATTACACAAGGGTGAGTAATTCATTTTTGCATGAACTATCTCTTTAAAACAATCCAATTTGAAAATGTAAAACTTTAATAACCTTAGTGTGTATGTGCATGTCTGCATTTGCTGAAACTAGCTCGAGGGCAAGAGCTCGGTACAACCTCTCTGTCAACTTTATCTGCTTCACAACAAATATTAGCTGTGTGTGCTTGTCTTTTTTGCCTGAAGCGCTGCACAAATATACCAACATATAGTTTCTAATAATACGAGACTGAATTGCACGCAAGCACACAGTCCGGGTTAATGTTGAGTTTCGTCTACCTTATGACGTTCGTCTTTGACAGTGAAACAGCAGATTTGTTTTCTAATCAGAGATTCAAAGAAGGATATGTGCATGCAAACCAACCTAAACTTAGTGCAGTAAGTTTGATCCTGTGTGTGTGTGTGTGTCTGCTTGTGTTAAATTGCATAAACAAAATAAGATGGTAATTCTAACCATGTTAGAATTACACGTCTAGAGATAAGGATTTCTGTGTCATTTTGTGTGTGTGTGTGTTAATGTGGTTGGCCTAGTCTAGAACAAAACGAATCCTGTCTAGAACGTGACCAGACCTGTCTTGAAGATTATCTGCCCAATCTAAAATCAGGAGGAAGAGAGCAAGAATGAAGGATCTGAAGCTGTGTTTGCAGACTCTGCTGCAGATAGAAGCTCAGAATATGATATCTGTGCTTTTGTTCAATCCTAAATGCTGTATAGGTCATGTTTTGCTTCATGACAGTACAGTCCTGCATACTCTAAGACTTGGAAGAACAGGGCTCCTCTAAAACCTATGAGCATTGCAGAACAGAAGGCTGATTCTGTGCTCTGGAACTCAAGGCGGGGCTGAACAGCACTTCATGCTAATTGGTCAAGTGACTCATGGTCATTGTTGCCTCTGCTGGCCGATGACACAGCAGGCCTTGTCTTCCTTCACAGCCTTTGTCTGTTTATGATTTACAATCACGCCGTTAATGCCCCTGTCCTCAGAGTAGAAGAGGAGAATTGTGGATTTATTCTTGGTTGTGCTACTCCGACACATTATGTCCCATATTCACGTGTTGACTCCGAATATTTCTGAATGTTATATAATACTGCTGCTTGCACGTTTCAAAAAAAATTAAAAACGCTATATATAGTAGTTATCTACTATCATTCAAAAGTCACTCTCTTATGTTCACTAAGGCTGTATTTATTTGACCGAACACAGTAATATTGTGAATTATTATTATTAATAAAAAAAATCTATTTTCAATTTTTTTAAAATGTATTTTTTTTCCTGTGATGGCAAATCAGAATTTTCAGCATTATTACTCCAGTCTTCAGTGTCACACAATCTTTCAGACATGATTTTAATGATGATTTGCTCAAGTTGGGATGCACCGATATGAAAATGTTGTCCGATACGATAATTCTTTATATTTGAAAGCCGATAACCGATATATTGGCCGATTAATCTATATCCAAATTTTTATATAATTTTTGAGAGCCTGATTACAAAAGCAAGTCTCACTCTTAAATACCATGTCCTAAGTAGACAGTTATTATGTCTCATTATAATTTTATGTAGCTTATATGACCGACTTGTGTTGCACTTAACTGTATTTTCCTTTTTTGAAGTGATTCCAATCATATTTCAAGTAATTCAAACCCATTATGGTGAACAATGTGCATCCGAAGTGTCTCAGCTGAAGGAAATAATCATTATTTATCGGCTGTAATATATTGACTAAATTTTCTTATCTGGCTTATAACATTAAAAATTAACATATCGACCGATACCAATATGGTGGTCGATATAGGCCTATCCTGCATCCCTATGCTCAAGAAACATTTCTTATTATCATCAATGTTGAAAACAGTTGTGCTGCATAATATTTTTGTGAAAAAAAATATGATGCATTTTTTCTCAGGATTCTTTGATGAACAGACAGTTTATTTGATTGAAATAGTTTTTTTTATTATTTTTTTTATTTTTAGAATATAACGTTTTTTTGATCAGTTTAATGCATCATTGGTGAATAAAATGTCATACCGACCCAGAATGTGTAAAGTGAAGTTGAATAATTAACTAAGGACAAAACTAATTGTTTTAAATATATAATAATTATAATAACAATAAATAACAATTATATATATATTGATTATATTATTATTGAATGTTGCTTGGATTGCTTAGATTTTTTTTTCATTACAATTTTCCTTTTTTTATTTGTTTAGGAGAATTTACCATGGATAGTTTTGTTTTCTTTGTTTGTTCTTCTTCCTAATAAAAAACGGTAACACTTCGATAATCCACTTTAGACATTCTAATACATAAATATAAGTAACTTTGCAAGTACATGCATTTTAGCATTTTATTTTGATGCCCCACCAGACATTCTGTTGACTATAAGTGCCTTTGCAACTACAGGTCAACTTAGTCTACTAACCCTTGCAATCCCTAACCATCTGTGGGCTGTGGCCCGATTCGAGGCTTTTCGTCCCAAAACGTTTTGTCCCAAAAAAATCCTCAATTGTGTGGTGTCATTATTATTATTTTACTACTCCTGATCGTGTCAGAGCCCACATTATCCCAAATCTTGACTGTGCTGCCTCTGTTGGCATACCCGCGATAGCCAATGAGAGCGAGCAAGCTTCACTAGCCACAAACATACCATGTGCAGTATTGAGAAAGATCATCCCTATTATTATTTTCTCCTATTTTTATACCTCTAAAACAATGCTCATGCCAGGAGACCCAGCTGACAATGTCAATTGTCATCCATTTGTTTTTCTTCTCAAGTCCCGTTTGATACTGTGAGTCTCCGTAAGATCTCTTCTCTCTCTGTAAATGATACTACTATGGACAGGTGTGTGGTCTTGCGATCCAGACGAATCTTCAAGTGTGTGCATTCGGAGGATTATAATGCTAAAAATCAGTTGAAACTGCCCTTTTGTCTGTGGTCTCCCAGTTTTAAAACTGTTTAAGATTTGAAAATCATCTAGTGTGTCCCAGGCCTTAGTTGACATACAGACCCCGTTTACACCTGGTATTAAAATGCGATCTGTATCCAGATAAGTTATCCGGATAATAAGTACTGATTCCATTTACACCTGGCCACATAAATGTGTTTTTGCAAAACGGATATAAATCCGATCTTCACCTCCTGCGTTATATGCAGATTTATTGGATTGCACGCCACCAAAAGCAACAGATCTGAGCGGCATTTTATTGATCATCAGCTAATTTCCAAATCAGAGACATCAATAAGAGAGAGTGGCAACAGGCCTGGTAAGATAATTTCGTTTCTTTAGCCTACTTGAAGATGTGTTAACTGCGTCTGTGACTTACTTTCACTTTTATTTGCGATGTTTGCACGTTGAATAGACGCTCAGCTGCTCATCTGCGGTGATGCGTGTCGCGTGTCGCATCTGACTAGGCTATAACATGACATAGCCTATATAACACGCTCTCACTCGTTTATTTTTTTAGCATTTTTGGGAGGAGTAAAATATACATATGTGGTTTCAACAACCAGATTGCGTTTACACCTAGTAAAGATCCGGACACAATGCGAGCCAGACTACCTCCAGATGTGGTCAGGCAGATCCGATCACGATCCGAGCACAACGCGTTTACACCTTGCATTAACATGCGTTTTTTATTATCCGGATAACTTATCTGGATACAGATCGCATTTTAATACGAGGTGTAAACGGGGTGACAGTTGCAAATTAATGAGAGTTAGTCGACATGTACTGGTAGTTGCAGAGTAAAAAAAAAAGAAAGTCTTGTCAGTTACTAATGCAGGGCAGCGCGGTGATTCAGATCCTGTGGAGAAAACTGAGACATCCGAGAAAGAAAAATAGTTTTCAGCTGAAAGAGCACAAGAAAAGAAAAATTGAGGGATCATCAAGGATAGAGGGGGGATTTTTACAACCACAAAACAGCATCAGCTCATTTACTGTTAGTCTGACTAACCCCCCCCCCCCCTCTCTCTCTCTCTCTCTCTCTTTCTTAAATCTTTGTATCCTATCCCATGCTCCTCCCTTTCTATCTCTGGCTCTGTCTATAGAAGTTTCTGATATCAGAGAGAAGGGGAATGAGTAGTGTGAAGAGAGGGGGACATGCCTTACGTGGACCGGCAGAACCGCATATGCGGTTTCCTGGATATCGAAGATGTGGAGAACAGTGGCAAGTTCCTGCGACGGTATTTCATCCTGGACACGCAACAGGGGAGTCTGGTCTGGTACATGGACAACCCGCAGGTAGAATCTAACTAAAGTGCAAATGCTTTCTGGTTAATGTAGTTCTGATTAGCTATCTGAGTTGATATTGTTTCTTGGTCTCATAGAACCTGCCTGTAGGTGCCAAACATGTGGGCTCCCTCAGTCTCACCTACATATCCAAAGTAAGCTCCCACCTTTTCACGTGTTCTGCTGTTTCTGCATCATTGCCTTTTGAGAAGTTACTACAAAGCCACCACTCTTGTTTTAGGTCAGTGATGCCACCAAACAGAGACCAAAGGCTGAATACTGCTTTGGTAAGACTTTTTCACGTCTACACACACTATCAGTTCACAATAATTTTGATACAAAGTTATCAGATTTCTGATTATAGTATAAATAACTGTCTTTTGGAATGTCATGATGAGTTAGCTGGGGTTTTGCTCCTTTTTTTGTTTATACATAACTAAATGTTTTTCATTTTTTGTAATTTTTTATTTGTTTTCAAATTGCTTAGAATTTGTGAAAAGCTTTCTGAGATGGAAAATAATGAAAATTTTAAAAATGGATGAAAATGGTTTAATATGGTTTATTTATATAACACTCACTTCATGTTATTTCGTACATATCACATAGTGTAAACAGTACTTAAAGGGATAGTAACCCCAAAGATGAAATTTATGTCATTTACTCACTCCCAAGTTGCTCCAAACCTGTATGAATTTCTTCTGCTGAGCACAAAGATATTTTTAAGAAAAGGAGTAAATTATGACAGAATTCAAGCCTCAATTGTTGACTAAAAGGTTTGTGGTTTGAATCCTGGCTGGGTGCTATATAGAAAGCTTGTAAGTTTGGTTTTAGGTCATGTTTTTGCTTTAAGCACTGCTTTTGTACTTCTGTGAATGGATTGTAATGGTATGTTGATGCAGTGAAAAGCAAAAACGTTTTTGCATTACTTCAAGTACATTTTGAGATTTTTTTTACTCTGTTCTTACAGCTTACACACACACACACACACACACTTCTATGTTGCTTTGCATGTACAGTTACTGCACTGCACATGGTAACCTTCTGCACAACATGAGTGGAAACAGGAAATGGTGGTCTGGTCACTTGATAGATGAGTGTTAGTGAGTTGGTGTGCGTGCTTTTTGCAGGATGCTTCTGTAGAAATCTGAACTTCATTTTGATGTGTTTTTGAAATCCTGTTCATTGTTTTTTCTTCTTCAAAAATAACCACCAGTGCTTCTTGGCAAACGTTTGTTTCATTGCTTTTCATGGTTTTACCCAGATATAGGTTAAATAATAGTTCACACATTATTTACTATTTAGGAGTTATTTATTTACCCTCTTGTTAAAACCCATATAGCTTTATTTCTTCAGTGGCATGAAAAATGAGATAAAGAAAACAAAAGTAAAAACTTCACCTCTGCTCCAAAATGACAAAAATGCCTCATCAGTGAACATAACTTATTTTGGGTCAGGTGAATCAGTTCGTCCTGAACACAAAACCAGTCTGATCTGGTTTTCAGGTTCAACTCAGTTATCCATTGGAAACATTTAACAACTGGAGGTAAAGATTATTAGGGAACAATGACACTCAAACACTAGGGGTGGGCGATATGACCAAAATTGTGTTTCACGATATGACTAATTTTATTTCACGGTAACGATATATTTCACGATATAGTTATTTATATAGTTATCCTCAAAAAAAAAAAAAAAAAAAAAGACAAAAAGGGCTTTGTATAATAAATAAACCCAAATACTTTAGAAATGAAAAGTATGTCACCACCTTGTTTTATTTTATTTTATTTGGTAACTTATTTATTTGGTAAACTATTTTTATATAAAAATATAGTAAACAAAAAACACTCATAAACTTTTAGATGAACTTCCCACAACAGATTGATATTAAATACAACTCATAGGTGCATTTCAACTTTAAATCATTTTTCAATCTCATGCATTGCTTTAGCCTACTTCATCAATCAGTTTATAATATAATTATAATATATATAATATAATTATAATATTTTTTTTACCACATGTGCTTATTATACTGTGTTTTTTAACGGAGAAGGGTATTCCTGCACAAACGGAGACTGCACACACTTGTTTTAACGGGCTTGTTTTGCTCTTTTTGTTATATCTGGCAACCCGTCAGTTCGGAAGTGACAAGAAGAAGATCAGCAATATGAAAACCAAACCGCGGCGCAGCTACTGTTACGCCGCCTTAGTGTTGACTAAGGGGCCGTTCACATATCGCGCCTAAAAACGCGTAGAAAACGCTAGGCGCACGCGTTCTCATTTTTCCAAAGAAGCGCTAGGGCGGTTGCACTCCGGAGGCGTCTGTCGTTGCTAAGCAACCATCAGCTGCGCTCTCCATTACATGAAGGAAATTTCAGAAATGGATTTCCACCACCGAAAAACCTTTGCTGTAACTCTGTTACAAGATTTATTTACTCAGAAAAGTAAAAAAAAACGCCGCAGTGTTTGGGTGCACCCCATAGCCTACTACAAAAACGCAAGAACCATGGGGAATTTCACCAGCTGATTCAGGAACTCCGCCTGGACAATGGGAGGTTCAAAGCCTATTTCAGAGTGGACAAGGACCAGTTTGATTATATTTTAAGAAGAGGTAACAAAAATGGCGAGGAAACTGATTGGTTGACGTGACACGTGACCTACGGTGCGCTTGCGGCATTCTGAAAAGTTGAGATGTTTTTATCTCGATGCGGCGCGGACGCGCCTGGAAAAAACGAGCGCGTCGCACCGCGACCGCGTCGCTTCCATTATGAGCGCGCATACCGCGCGCCTACATTTGAAATAACGAACTTGAGCGCGCAAAAGACGCGATATGTGAACCGGCCCTTAGTAGTTTAAATTATACACACCTTATAACAGTGCGTCGAACACCGCACGCTCCCTCAGTGCATGTGCACGCGCGCGTCTTTTACATCAACAAAATGCGATCGATTCATTTGAGAGTGAAGTTGTAATCACGGATCGAATCAAAGGAAGATTTTATCAACTGGTTCAGTAGGCAATTGTTTGGAGTTAAAAAATATATAACTCGCGCTGCATATTTAGTAATTTTGCCTCAGAAACAGGATTATACATTGGTTTTAACAAGCAGGATGTTCATTCATGCTGAATGCGATTTTCATGTTTAAAAAGTAACTATACATAAGAGAAGGAAAGATGCGGATAACTATACATTATTTAAGGTTATTTCTCGTAATGATATTGATATTGCCTATGAAATGTTGTTATCAAGTAACTTCATGCTTTCCCCGTTGCTAACGTGCACTCCTCTAAACTGTAGCCTGGGTGCTGCCGCTCTGCTCAAGTTGACGACTGCTTTCCCCCCCGAACATATCACGTTAACAACAATCCTTTAGAAAATGTAATTCCTTTGTGGATCCTCTTGATCTGCTTTCTCCATGTTTATTTGACAAATCTCAGCATCAGTCTCACGCGCGCTGCACGGGAGTTAACCACGCCCCCTTATTTGCATTTCGCGGTATACACGGAATAAAAAAATCTGTTACGCCTGACGTTTTCTATCGCGGTAACGATATATATCGTCATATCGCCCAGCCCTATCAAACACGCACATAGTAGCCTAATAATTTTCAAATTCTTATCGAAAAAATGAAAAAATTACATAAATGCCCAGAAATATTTGAAATACAGTTTTAGAAATTTAAACCAGAGGAGTTCGGAAAACCGGAGTCCGGTTCTGTCCTGCGGAGTTCAGCTCCTATCCCAATTAAACACTACTAGGCATACTAGAAACTTCCAGGCAGGTTTGTTAAGGCAAGTTTAGGCTAAACTCTGTAGGACAGTGGCCCTCCAGGACCCAGACCTCTTGGACACCCCTGTTTTAACCATACGAGGATACAATGCAACTTACTTGAGTGAGAACTATTGGTGGAAGGCAGACCATTTCTGTACATCTACACATAATGAACATTGCACAATGGAGTTGTGATGCAGTGATTTCTAGCATTCAACTGACATTGCAGGAAAAAATGAGTCAAGATCTATGACATGTTGCTGTAGCTTTTTAATCTGAAATTGATTTTGCACTGCCTTATTGACTTCATGAGCTCAGTATGGTAATTCATAAAGTCTACTAGGCTCAAATAAAGGCTCTCTGTTTGCTTTTGGGATTAATGGGTATTTTAAAATACACCGACACGTTCCTTCTGATACACTGATAGTTCTCAGAATTACTCAGCAAAATTGCAATTGAATTATGGGAAATGGGGTTAAGCCGGTTCTCTCTGTCTGTGTGCAGTCATCAATGCAGGAATGAGAAAATACTTTCTGCAGGCTAATGATCAGCAGGATCTTGTGGAATGGGTCAACGCACTCAACAATGCAACCAAAATCACAGTGAGTATGCACATTCAAAATGCAAGTGTGAATGTACTGTATGCACGCATGTATATCCATTGAACCCCCATACAAAAATTGACCAATGTAACTCTTTAACGACCATTTGCATTGTAACGACCATTTACAAAATTTTGCAAAAGGTTTTTGAGCTATATATATTTATACACACATACGTATATATTACATTCAAAATATTATTTATCATCATGATTACAGTATCAAAATGAATAATCAAATTAGGCTTTTTGATATAATTTGCTGCTCTAATTGTAATGAATTTAACTTTTTATATGGTATTGCAGTGTAAATGTAGTGTAATATAATATTTTAATTATATCAGAATAAATAAGCAGTACAAAAAAATCCTACCATGATGTTTGAATACTAATTCATACTACAGTTTAAGTTCAATATTAGGCTTTATTATTTTTTATGCAACATTTAATTTTCTCCTGTTAATTTTGGGGTAAAAAAGTTTGGTAAGGTTGTTTTTTTATATATATATATATATTTTTGAAAGAATTTTCTCATGCTCACCAAGACATCCTTTTTTTTTTAGGATCCTGGATTGTTTGCATTTGTTATCTAGCTATTAAACAAGCTCACATGCTAATCTGATATCCCAGACAACTGCATACAGGAACAGTTAAAGAAACAATGAAAGCATTCAATGAGTTCATTTAGTCAGTGTCAGTGGTCAACACTGCAGATTTGTTCACTGGAAGATAAATTATTGTTAGGGTTCTCTGCGAGTTTAAATATTGAAAGTAACCCAAATTACAAGTACAAGCAAATTACCATAAGCAAATACACCCGCACAAAAAAAGCAAGGTTTTTTTTTTTATTGGAGTGGCAGTCTTTTTCCCCTCTCTGAGTACATGTGCAGGCAAACTCATACAAACATACGCACAGGAAGTTGAAAGTTTCTCAAAAAAATCCCTGTCCTGTTTAAGCCGTGTGTTCCTCTTCCTGATGGCTTTTTCCTTGTGCGAGTCACTTGGCTGACTAATGGGAAGTTGTATTGTTTGAACGACCTTCACCTCGGAGTCATCGGCGATTCAGAATGCCATTACATGCACAAGTACACGCACGCACACACACACACATACCCTACAATGTCTCTGTCTCTCTTCTACTCTTTTTCACTCTCCCTGTATCACTAATATATCACACTTCCACATGCAATGGCAGGAAGTGCTCTGTCTGTAGGCCAGACACTCTTGGAGCGTGGGCTGATGGATTGAAGGGCTACACAATAAGCCGTTGTTGAGTTATACTGTGAGTCTCACAATCGATGGTTAATTCATCTGTGCCTTGTTCACTTTTTTTTTTTTTTTTTTTTAAAGTTCCATTATGTTGCATTTTCAATCTTTTGCTGCTGCACCAATTTTTTTCTCTTAAAACCTCCTCTCAGTCTTTCCTGGTCATTACTTTCTCTCTCTTTTTGTTTCTCTCCCTTTCTCTCTCACAGGTTCCTAAGTCCTCTGATACCGTTCACTCTGAGAGTCAGAGGTTGGCTTCAAATGGCAACAAGAAACAGGTCCCATACAAGACCGAAATCATTGCAGGAGTGGCTGTCGTCACACAGACACAGGTATTAGGTGCTACTTCATGCACCTTCATGCTGCGCATCAACACATAACCACACACTAAAAGATTTTTGATGCAAGAAACCATATCGTTAACTGATAAAATCGAATAATGAATATTGTAAATCCAGAGCTAGTATCCACACAGCTGACACGTTTAACTGTTGTAGCTTATCCACATTGTGTGCATAAACTAGACTTGGAACATATATATTAATAAAATGTATTAATTGTTAATATAATAACAAAAATAATCATAATAGATCTATATAATATAATTGTATATATATATATATATATATATATTAATAAAGGTTAATCCATATTAACAAATTAAATGAAAACAATGACGTAGTCTCCCAGTATTTCTCAATTAAGAGAAATTTAACTTTGTCTAGTTTTTAATTTGCAGAGCTCATATATTTCTGAATGTTCATGTATGTGTTCATGTACCCCCCTTCTCCTTCATTTAGCAGGATGGAGAGCTGGCACACAGTGTTGGAGGAGAGAAGGTGGCCTTGAGGAAGGCTCAGAACAATCCGCCATATTTGCACACTAGAGCGGGGCTAGATCAGACCCTTATTAAAGCAGGATACTGTGTCAAACAAGGGGCGCTGGTAAGTCTGAGTGGCTGTTTTTAGCGTGGGTCTTTTGTAACCCTGGTGTGTGTTCGAAAATGCCCCAAAAAATATTACATTTAAAATCTCAATTGTAAAAATGTATGAAGCTTTGTGTGACTACTGGAGAGAATTAATAACATGTTAACGTTTTCATCTTATATCAGATGAAGAACTGGAAACGGAGATATTTTGTTCTGGAGCAGAACTCGATGAGTTACTTCAAGTCTGATCTGGTATGTTGTATGTTATTTTGCCACTTATGCAGTAGTGATTTGTATTGAATGCGCACCATTATCCCTCGTCAATGGAGAATTCTGACACAAAGATTCAGGTGCCCAATAACTCAGGTTGAATGGTTGCATTCACTGAATTGTCTAGATTGTACAAGCAGATTTATTTATGGAGGAAAATATGGCTTTTGTAATGCCAGATGACCTTAGACTACAGATGATCATAAACTACAGTATATGAAATGAAAGGTTAATCTCTTTTGCATTTAATTTTTTCTTTTTTTTAAATCCGAACAAAACATAAAGCAAATACCAGCGGTCTGTCTCAACATGAACGGCTCTATACCTGTGAAATTCCCGGTGTCTGCTTGTTAGAGAGTGAGGCATTATGTAAATCATTGCTCTTGCAGTGAGAAAAAAAGCATTTAAGATTCCTGTCCAGTCTAGGCCTGAATAAGATCCAAAGTGGACCGCACTCCATCCCAAAAGATCTGGCTCTGTGAGACTACCAACAGATCTCTCTCTCTCTCTCTCTCTCTCTCTTTCTCTCCTTTCACTTCTCTTTCAGGAGAAGGAGCCTTTAAAGATTATTCTTCTGAAGGAGGTCCATAAGGTGCAGGAGTGCAAACACGGGTACAACAAACAGAATGTCTACCAATCATATGCTTTGAATTCTTGACTGAAAATTCCTATAAATACAAATCATTCTGAACTTTTTTTTTTTCAAAAGAAATTATTACATTGTGCATTCACAAATACTTTTTAAAATAAATTTCTTATGCTCACCAAGGCTGGCTTATTTGTTCAAAAATACAGTTAAAACAGTGAAATATTGCAATTCATAAATATTTTCAAATGTAAGTTATTCATGTGATTGCAAAGTCTCATGACCCTTCGCTGCTCAAGAAAACATTTTGTTGGTAGAATCGATGTTGAAAACTTTTGTTACTAATTTTTGGTTTTTGATGGAAACTGTAATGCATTTTTCTCAGGATTCTGTAATTAATGAAAAATTTAAAGGAACAACATTTATAGCCAACAGCCATAACACCCTGTATCCCAAGACTGGTTGCCCACTGAAGCTAAGCAGGGCTGAGCCTGGTTAGTACCTGGATGGGACACCTCCTGGGAAAACTAGCTTGCTGCTGGAAAAGGCGTTAGTGAGGCCAGCAGGGGGTGCTCACCCTGTTGTCTGTGTGTGTTCTCTTCTTTCAGTGAAATAATGATGCGAGACAACCTCTTTGAAGTCGTCACAACCTCCAGGACATTCTATATCCAGGTGAGAGGTCATGTCATGCATCGACATGTGCTTCTAATGTGGCCCTGCTCCATTATTCACACTAAATCAAACTATTGAAAATAGTGGTTGAAGATATTAGTGTATTATATGTGAGTTCTTAGGCTACAATGTATCTCAGAACCATTTAGACGTCAGTTCATGTGTATTCATTACCTTTGTAGAATTATCTCTTCTTTAGAATATGTAAAAACTTTCCATTTCTTTTAACCATTCTGCTCCAGGCTGATAGTCCAGAAGAGATGCACAGCTGGATCAAGGCTATTTCAGGAGCCATTGTGGCTCAGAGGGGCCCAGGCCGGTCCGCAGCTTCTGTATGTACACGCATGCACACACACATGCATTCAAAAGCAGGTAGTCACTCCACCTCTGTGCAAAACAGTGGAGCATGAATTCTCAGCCTCAGGAGTTTATCTGCTCACATATATCCAATCATGTGTTTTTCTTTCTCTCACATGTACACAAACAAACAAAAAGAGAAGTGAACAATAATATGACTGCAGTGGTTTGGGTTTAAGATTGGTAATAGTTCAGAAGTGTTAGCACTCTGGAATCAAGTGTGCACTCATTTAAATGTGGGCAGCAGTCTGTTTGTTTCATACGCTTTCTCCCACTCTCAATGAACCTAGTGACTCCAAAAAGTATTTGGACACTTCAGTTGCACTTAATGTATGGATGTCATTGCATTTGATGACAAATATCAAGTTAAGTAGCATTTATTTAAGATGGAAGAAGTCTATATGTAAGGGAAAACAGATTATCGAAGAAGAAGAAAATAGTTCTTGATTAGTGGTTTTTGATTAGATGTGAATGATCTGATTAGATCTGAATTCGAGTTTGCGGTCGACTGTAAGATAGAAGCTGGGTTTAAGTGGACTGAATGATTGAAGAAGTCTATACACATCAACATTTCACTAAAGATGGAGTTATGACAGTGTGATTATCATATACATGAATTAATGATTTACAATAAGATTAATTATATGGATTTTTCATGCCTACTTTAAAGTAATAAAAAATATATATATTGTGAGATAATTTATGTTGGTGGATTATTTTTTTTTAATTTTTTTTTTTTTACTTCAGCTGTTTGGTTTGATATTTTGTTATATATATATATATATATATATATGTAAATGAAATGACATTCATATATTAAGTGTCCAAATACTTTTCGGGGCTCCTGTATCCCTCTCTCCCTTTCTTCCTCTAATGTAGCTCTGCACTGTTGTTTCAGATGCGTCAGGCCAGAAGGCATTCAAGCCCCTGTATTCAGAGATATACACCACGTGTCACTCAAGGCAGCACGTATGTGATCTCCGCCCCCTTTGACCCGCCCATTGTTTCCTCTTCCTCGCTTCGCAAACGAGTCGCTAACGCAAATACGCACAAACGTACTTACCTTTTTCCATTTCGCTTTTCCAGAATAACTTCACACACAAATGCACACCTAACAGTTCAGATTCAAATAATAAACGGGTTCAACAGCTCATTAACGAGATGCATTCAGTTTTCCGCTGACCTGGTGTTTTCCCGCTAATTCTCTCATGTTTCTTCTCAACACTGTGGCTCCCTCATTTAAACTAACGGTTAATATCGATGCACTTCTCCATTTCTAATGCTTCTGCCTCTCTGCCAGCCCACTGCAGTCTTCTGCTACACACCCAAAAACGCATGTTTCACATGTTTCGATTGCTCATCTGTATATAATTATTCTTTATTGTGTGTAGCATGGTTCATAAAGTTTTTGGACAAAAGTATTTTTGTTTTACCATCCTAAATGACTCAAACTAGTGATTTCTGATTTAAAATAAACACAAAACTTTGCCCATAGTCAGCCCATTTTGCTTGTCTTTAAAAAGGATTTATTGATATAGAAGTTTAGAATATAACTTTATCTTACCCTTTGGAGATTGATTGTACATTAAAAAAAAAGATTTTGATTATGTAATAAAGCAATGTTATTTTTCCAGCATGTTAATTGCTTTGTTGTTTACAAATTTTGCGTGCGTGCATAGTTGTCTTTGCAAGGACCAGTTTGAGTTTTAGACCATTGAAGTGAGAACAGACTTGTAGAGGGTTAAGACTTGGTAGCCAGCCATACAAACATGTTTGTGTCAGTTCTTTTTATGAGCTTACACATGATTTACTGTTTGAGAGTTGTATTTTTGTGTCTGTGTTTTAAACGTTATCCACATTTCCCAGTACTGTCTTGCAGTAAGGTTTTTGTCTTGTGAGGTGAACCCTCGAGTCTCCGACATTAGTTCCTCAATCTCTGCTGTTATTAGATTAGACATGTCTGTGCTTTCTCTTATGATTGTTAGGTAAAATGTTATGGACTTTCTGGAGCAGTGATTAAGATGCTTTTTTTCCCCCTTCTGTTTTATTGCAGTTCTCAAACTAACGATACTATATTTTTATATTTGTGTAAACAGAATGCCGTTCTAACGGTCACAATATTTGTCGTCTTTCTCTTACATTCATTCTGTCATTCAATATTCTCTCTCCACTCTTTTCTTACATTATATTGGTGTTTGATTCTGTCTTCTATCTTCTACCTAGGGCTGGGCGATGTAGCTTAAAGGGTTAGTTCACCCAAAAATTTAAATGATGTCGTTAATGACATCATTTTCATTTTTGGGTGAACTAACCCTTTAATAATAATGCTTCAGTGTTTTTTCAGGCTTAACTTGGTAATAATATGCATCTTTATTTTTGTATTTTTTATTTTAATATTTCCTCTTAAATAGTTTTTTTTTAAATGATTGTTTATTTAAAATCAGAGCAATGATATTCCTGTGATGGCAAAGCTGAATTGTCAATCTTACAGCTTACTTAGAATCTTCCTGACACTAGATTTGTAGTTAAGACCGCCTAAACCGAGACCAAGACACTACCAAGACCAGAGGGTTTCGAGACCGAGACAGAGACCAGAAGAGAAATTAAATATAATGCTATTTTCATTACAATAACAATTATGTAATAAGTTTTGTCCCTCCTCACTATTTCCCAATGTAAGATTTTGTTTTGAATTGCCTGCCTATTTCTGCCGATAAGTTTCCAAATGAATCCATTCTGCAACTTTTAAATGCATAATTATATTTTATAAAACAAAATTATAGGCTTAAAGAGCCCTTATCATAGCATTTGAAATGTTCCTATTTTTGTTTTAGGAGTTCCCAAAAACAGTTTAACATGCATGTAAGGATAAAAAAAACACTTTATTTGTCTTATAATATGCATTTATTTTTAACTGATTTCCTCAACGACTCCCAAATGATTTGTTCGACGATTCATTTTCCCAAACACCTCCTTTGAGTGACGCAAATCTGCGGCGATTGGTCAAATGACCCAGTCAGTTGTTATTGATAAACCGTAGCCAGAGACTGTCGGCAACGGAACGCCCATAACCAGTATTATAGCTTGTCAAGTGTTGAAAATTGTAAATAGTGTTTGAACAAACGTGTCAAAAAAAGTGCACTTTCCACACGGTCCCTTACTCGCGTCTCCGTCAAGAGCGAGCTTTCCTGGCGAAACTCGCATTGCGGAGGCTTTTTGAGGGGCAGTGCTTATTATATAGAGCGAAGTCATATTTGGCTAAGTCGTTTAGGAGGTAATTGCCATTTTTCAATGAATGTCTGGTGAATATCAAAAACAAAACTAACTTTACCCCGCTTAGAAGCTGCACGGAGTGTACACAACACACACAACACAATATAACTATATTTTGCATGCTACAGAAAACATAACAGCAAACATTATTGATATTACTTGCAGATTATGATTCGGAGGAGGACAAACCTGATCCATATACACTGGATATTGAGCCCTCCTTCAGGAACAATCGGCTTGCGAATCCACATTAGAATTCATTTAGGTTTTTGAATTTTGAATGATTCGTCATTAAAATGATGAGAACACAAGGTTTGGGCGTTTTGCAAATATGAACTCTGACCACTGGTTCTTCACATGCTCGTCCCTGGACAATGGAAACAAGTGGCTGAACTGTCTTTGCAATGTAGAACATAGCGTCTTCTCGACGTATTTGAATGTGTTCTAGACGTCACTTCAAGTTTACACTTCCGTATGCGCGCGCAGTTGTTGGGAGCGGCCAATGACCTGTCTGCGTCACGATGTAACAGCTAATGACTCGTTTCAAAAACAATTCATTTCATAGACTCAGAGTCGACTCTCACTTTTGAAAGACAATAACTTCATATACGGTGCACTTTCAGATATAAATCTTTGTAGGATGTTTTCATTCCTTTAGAGCTATATTCCACACTATATGAACTGTCATTTTCAAAAATCCATGATGGGTGCTCTTTAAGTGTAGGATCCGAAAGTTGGATGTTTTGTTGCTATGGTTACACACACACACAAACACTCTGTTGGCGGTGTGCTCAAAGTCATCTGTCAGTTGTGCAGTTACCCAAAATCTCCTGAATGAAGTTAAAACCCATCATGTCACTGATATTTGTTTTACTAAATATTAATACATCAAAAACTGCACAACATATGTTTTTTTTTTTTAATAAGTGATCAAAGTGCTCATTGCCGCTGCGATCAGTGTTGTGGATTCGGTGTTTTCTTGTGTGGCTCGCGTATGGTTGCGGATACTCTATTCGTGTACATAATGCATACAAAAGTGTCCCTGCTTGATATACAACCTCCGATTAACATAATCAGTTGCATTATTAAACGTTGTGTCGTCGTGCATATTGTATTGCTAAATCGCCTGACTAATGTCGGTCTGAGACAGCGAGACCAAAGACCGTCAAGGCCGTGACAAGACCGAGACCATGTAAATGTGCTACCACCACTATTTTCAATAGTTAGATTTTTGGACTGTGGAGCACGGCCTCATTAGAAGCACCGGTCTCGAGACATACATCACTAACTGACACCAAACCTTACTTTTGACCAGAAGTACAAGTTTACTATAAAATTATATGTAAAATACTGTATTCTTGAATTTATTTTATGATAAATCGTTGATTCATGTTTTTTGAATTGGTTGAACTGATTCATGGAAATTAACAAATCAAGCAATTCAAATGTTTTAGTTACTGAAGATTCAATTTAAAGATGCTATTAATGAATCTTTAATCATGTTCACATACATGTGGCATGTCTCTTTCAGAAACTTATCAGACAATTGAAAAGCACTTCCTCTGGGATTCTTTTTTTTATTGTCAGCTAAATATGAAATGATTATTTGATGTATCGTCCAGGCCTGCTTCTACCTCTCTCTCCTTCTCACGTTCTCTCTTATGTTGTGTTTTCCAGTGAGGGGGATATCTGGGCTCTCTGAGTACTAACACTTCTGATCTGGTGCTCTGCTGGCTCTGGTTTCTGGTACTTCTCATCTTCTACTGCTAAGCTCATCCTAAAAAACTGTTTCTCGGATGTTCTTACTCACAGCTGACACTGCTCTCAATCTTTACCGCACTGCATCAGTCTTAACGCTTTTCTGAAAAACAAAAAACAAAAACGCTTTATTCAGACCAGAACTTTAAGCATCTTTAAACATTCTCTCTCTTCCACCCCCCCCCCCCCCCCCCCCCCATTTAGGAGCACATTGTTGGCAGCTCCTGTTTCTACCGCCAGCTCACGAGTCACGCCATCCCCTGGACGCCCAGCCCTGCCGTGTCAGCCCATCCAGAATGCCGTGGTCCCACGAGGTCTGGCTTGGGACAGCGAGCACTTCATGAGCCTGCTGCCCCTGCCCCGCCCACATGCCCGCCTGTCACTGCAAGAGACCCGCCTCTCCAAGTGACTCACGAATCGCCTTGGCGGCGACGCAGCAGCTTTGGAATGTGCGACGCTCCTTTGCCCCAACTTGATCTGGATGGTGCAGATCTTCCTGTTAGTGAAGTCTGACTGTTTTACATTAAACTTTTACCTCTGACCCAGAAATATTAAGATGGGTTTGCAGAGTTTAGAGGATGGAAGGATCTTTGGATGAAAGATAACCTCGTCGTTTGGATCCAAACTAATTTGACCCGACATGTCAAATAAATTTTGAACTTTAAAAGAGCTTCAGTCATGTTCATCTTGATCAGAAACTCTACTATGATTCCAAAGAATCTCCTTACCTCCTAACCTTTGAGCTTTTACTGAAAACTGCAGAAAGAAACTCATGGAATATGGATTCAGGATACGGACTGTGTTGGAGGATGCAAAGTTTCGCACTAACTCACGGACTGGAGTTGGAAAGGCTGTTTGAGTGCTTGTGAAAAGTGATTCCTTTTTTAATATCCAAAGATCCCCCTACACTGATCATTATAGAACATACTTCATTTGTGTTTCTTTCTGTACAGTTTCCTATTTTTAAAAGATTTATATGTGCTGTTAATGTGACTAATTGATCCTGTGGACTAAGCTGGGGTTATTTTGACTGACAGTTCATCTTTTATCCGCATGTATACATATGGGTGAATTATTGTTGCCATAACATTGTTTTTTGTCTGTTGCTCCACTAAATGACTGATCAAATCCACAGCTTAACTGAAAGGTTTGGATACAGTAAAACTGAGCAGAGTGTTGCCGTATAATCTGCCTACATCCCTGTAAGTTTCTGGCATTCTGGGTATTACTGTATATGTTTGACCAGATAAGTGAGAGTTTGTTGTTGAATTGTTCCTTTTTTTCTTTTCTTTTTTTTTTTTAGCTGTTGAGATTTGTGAATGACTACTATGCGACGCTTTTCAGTGTGTTTGTTTTTACATGGATTCATTTTTGCTCTCTAAAAAAGTGCCTGCATCTTTTTCTTTTAAAGGTCTGGCAGTTTTAACCCTCAGTTGTTGTTTTTTTTTTTGGTGTCATTTTGTGCTGTAACCATTTTAATCTTGTTTGTTTATATTATTTATTATAAGAAAAAGCAATAAACCAAGTCTAAATTTATGCTGTTGATTGAATATCACATTTTGGCTTTCTCATACTAGAAAAATTTGAAAATTATTTGGTATATATGAAATGTTTTTGTATTTTTTTTTTTTATTTTTTTTTTGCTAGACCATCATTTACCATCAGAAATCAGAGGCTTTATTGCCCTCTGTTGGACATTTAAAGCTACTGGCGAACCTCTTGGCTCTATAATTGGCTCTATAGTTTTTGGCTCATGGTTTTGCATGTTCTGTGTTTTACCTCACTGAGACTGTCTTAAGGATGTGATGTTACCAACTATTAGATCATGACATCAGCGGAGATAATACCTGTGAACATTTTGTCTCAATTTCACAAGGCCTTTGGGAAAGGGAGTTTTTAAAGAGCAGCAGTCCAAATAGCGGGATAAAAGGACTGTTCACCCAAAAATGTAAATTATGTCATTATTTGCTCCAATAATTAGTTCCATACAGACTCCTGTAATCTTCTCTGAAACTTTCTTCAGTGAAATATCCCTAAGTCATAATGTAAATTGACAAATGAGAAAGTGTATTGAGTTATGGAAAGTTTTTTATGACATCGTGCATTATGGTCTTTAACTCTTTGTATATGATTTTTGCAGGAAAAAAACTTTCAGAAAAACAGAAACCAAGCTACAGTTATTGACAGTGAAATTTCAGAAAAGTGTACAGATTTGATGCTGTTGTTTGTTAATGGCAGGTTGTTTAAATTCATTTGCATGAGGTACAGCTTTTTAAAACATCCCAAAAATACCAAAAGCTCTTTTGGTATAGTTCCAGTGTTGTTGTTATCTAAAACTATAATATTTTGAAATAGTTCGGTTAAAAAATGAAATATAAGTATTAGATAAACTTACAATAAATCTAAGATTAGAACAATCGCCTGAAGTTTAAGTTGAAATTACTAAAACTGAAAAGAAGCGGAATAGAAGTATATAAAAAAAAAAAGCTGTGATAAAAATAACAAAAGCACCAAATTCGGAAAATTCTAAATATTAATAAAGAGCATAAAAGAATAACACTGGGTGATTTCAGCACTTTATGTTGTAATTATTTTAGAGGCTTGTGCATCACAGTTACTATAAAACCCCTGTTAAGTCAATCAATAGATTCACACAAAAAAAAGTTATTGGGATTTATAGGTAAAAATTTCACTTAAAGAATTACATTTAAAGGCAATATTTCTCTTCTTTACTGATCATCTGCAGACAAGTCTTTTCAAGCTAGCACTGACCTAACATTTTTTTTTTTTTGTCATTGAAAGGATAACTAAACCATTAGTCAGACCTGTCCAACTTAAAAGGCTTGTTCGTAAAACCATAAAATCACCCACTTTGGGTTCCATTTAACCACAATAACAACCCAGCCCTAGTCCTCAGGCCTCACCCCTCACAAAAACGCTAGCACTAAAAGAGCCCAACGGTCTGGTCAGTTTCATAATTTAGAGTCGGTATTTAGTTTAATTATTATTATTATTTTATTTATTTTTTTTTTTTTAATGCAGCATCATACATAGACCTATCACTAACATCCCAGACATGTAGTTTGTGTGCGAACAAACTCTATGAGATGCATTATAGGCCTGTTAAATTCCTGGGCTCACTCTCATCCGTGAACGCTGTAGTCCATGTGTTACCACAAAAATGTTTATCAGGCTTAATTCAAGCGCAAGTAAATTATGGCCGGAAGCTGAATCTCAGCACGGCCACAAGTAAGTGACTCTGTTGGCTGCATGGTTTAATTATGGGTTCAATTAATTTGCTATTTGGGTCGTGGGATCTGTTTATCATCAGATACATAAATGTGACAGTTTTCCATAACGATGGAAATGAAAGTGGTCCAATCTTACCGTGTAGGCCTATGTGCTGGACAGTGTGTGGTACTTTGTCTACTCAGATCCAGTGGTATGTTTTTTAATATCTCTTCCCCAGCCACCGAGTGGGAGAGAAGGGAGTTTTTTAAGGGGACCCGGTTGGTCAAGTTTCGCGGAACCCGTGAAGGTCACAGTGGAGGATGTAGTTGGAAGATGATCCCAGTTCCGATGGTCCCTGTTCTGGTGGTCCCGGTTCCGGTGGTCCCGAGTCCGGTGGTCCGGAGAAGGAGAAGAAACAGACAAGTCCCGTCTGCCCAGTCAGAGACTGTTCACATTCCCTCTGCCCAGCCAGAGACTGTTCACGTCCCGTCTGCCCAGCCAGAGACTGTTCACGTTCCCTCTGCCCAGTCAGAGACTGTTCACATTCCCTCTGCCCAGTCAGAGACTGTTCACGTTCCCTCTGCCCAGCCAGAGACTGTTCACGTCCCGTCTGCCCAGCCAGAGATTGTTCACATTCCCTCTGCCCAGTCAGAGACTGTTCACATTCCCTCTGCCCAGCCAGAGACTGTTCACATTCCCTCTGCCCAGCCAGAGATTGTTCACGTCCCGTCTGCCCAGTCAGAGACTGTTCACATTCCCTCTGCCCAGCCAGAGACTGTTCACATTCCCTCTGCCCAGCCAGAGACTGTTCACGTCCCGTCTGCCCAGCCAGAGACTGTTCACGTTGCCTCTGCCCAGTCAGAGACTGTTCACATTCCCTCTGCCCAGCCAGAGACTGTTCACATTCCCTCTGCCCAGCCAGAGATTGTTCACGTCCCGTCTGCCCAGCCAGAGACTGTTCACATTCCCTCTGCCCAGCCAGAGACTGTTCACGTCCCGTCTGCCCAGTCAGAGACTGTTCACGTCCCGTCTGCCCAGTCAGAGACTGTTCACATTCCCTCTGCCCAGTCAGAGACTGTTCACGTTCCCTCTGCCCAGCCAGAGACTGTTCACATTCCCTCTGCCCAGTCAGAGACTGTTCACATTCCCTCTGCCCAGTCAGAGACTGTTCACATTCCCTCTGCCCAGTCAGAGACTGTTCACATTCCCTCTGCCCAGTCAGAGACTGTTCACGTTCCCTCTGCCCAGCCAGAGATTGTTCACATTCCCTCTGCCCAGTCAGAGACTGTTCAAATTCCCTCTGCCCAGTCAGAGACTGTTCACATTCCCTCTGCCCAGTCAGAGACTGTTCACATTCCCTCTGCCCAGTCAGAGGCTGTTCACGTTCCCTCTGCCCCGTCAGAGACTGTTCACATTCCCTCTGCCCAGTCAGAGACTGTTCACGTTCCCTCTGCCCAGTCAGAGACTGTTCACGTTCCCTCTGCCCAGCCAGAGATTGTTCACATTCCCTCTGCCCAGTCAGAGACTGTTCACATTCCCTCTGCCCAGTCAGAGACTGTTCACATTCCCTCTGCCCAGTCAGAGACTGTTCACGTTCCCTCTGCCCAGCCAGAGATTGTTCACATTCCCTCTGCCCAGTCAGAGACTGTTCACATTCCCTCTGCCCAGTCAGAGATTGTTCACGTCCCGTCTGCCCAGCCAGAGACTGTTCACATTCCCTCTGCCCAGCCAGAGACTGTTCACGTCCCGTCTGCCCAGTCAGAGACTGTTCACGTCCCGTCTGCCCAGTCAGAGACTGTTCACGTTCCCTCTGCCCAGTCAGAGACTGTTCACATTCCCTCTGCCCAGCCAGAGATTGTTCACGTCCCGTCTGCCCAGCCAGAGATTGTTCACATTCCCTCTGCCCAGTCAGAGACTGTTCACATTCCCTCTGCCTAGTCAGAGACTGTTCACGTTCCCTCTGCCCAGTCAGAGACTGTTCACGTTCCCTCTGCCCAGTCAGAGACTGTTCACGTTCCCTCTGCCCAGTCAGAGACTGTTCACGTCCCGTCTGCCCAGTCAGAGAATGGTCACGTTCCCTCCGCCCAGTCAGAGACTGTTCACGTTCCCTCTGCCCTGTCAGAGACTGTTCACGTCCCGTCTGCCCAGTCAGAGAATGGTCACGTTACGTCTGCCCAGTCAGAGAATGGTCACGTTACGTCTGCCCAGTCAGAGAATGGTCACGTTACGTCTGCCCAGTCAGAGATTGTTCACGTTCCCTCTGCCCAGTCTGAGACAGATCAAGAGATGCCCATTCGTGTGGCCGCCAAGGGTATACTGGACTATCTGGAGCGTCTGGCTCAGATCCTGGACATGCCTGTGTCTGCTGCTCCAGAGCTGGAGCCAGTTTCTGCTGTTCCAGAGCCAGTGTCTTCTGTTCCAGAGCCCGAGGCAGAGCCAGTGCCTGTTCCAGAGCTGGAGCCAGTGCCTGTTCCAGCGCCAGAGCCAGAGTTTGTTTCTGTGTTTTTGTCTGTCCTTGTGACCCTTATTGTTCTAGTGGCTGTTCCTGAGCGGGTGTCTGCTGTTCATGAGATGGAGCCGGAGGCAGAGCCAGTGCCTGTTGTTCCCGAGCCAGAGGCAGAGCTAGTGCCTGTTGTTCCCGAGCCCAGTGCCCGTTCCCGAGCTGGAGGCAGAGCCAGTGCCTGTTGTTCCAGAGCTGGAGGCAGAGCCAGTGGCTGTTGTTCCAGAGCTGGAGGCAGAGCCAGTGGCTGTTGTTCCAGAGCTGGAGGCAGAGCCAGTGCCTGTTGTTCTAGAGCCGGAGGCAGAGCCAGTGCCTGTTGTTCCAGAGCTGGAGGCAGAGCCAGTGGCTGTTGTTCCAGAGCTGGAGGCAGAGCCAGTGGCTGTTGTTCCAGAGCCGGGGGCAGAGCCAGTGCCTGTTGTTCTAGAGCTGGAGGCAGAGCCAGTGCCTGTTGTTCCAGAGCTGGAGGCAGAGCCTGTGGCTGTTGTTCCAGAGCCGGGGGCAGAGCCAGTGCCTGTTGTTCTAGAGCCGGAGGCAGAGCCAGTGTCCGTTCCAGTGCCAGTGTTTGTTTCTGTGTTTGTGGCTGTTACAGTTTTGGTGTCTGTTCCTGAGCATGTATATGTATATGTATATATATATATATATATATATATATATATAGGCTATATATATATATATATATAGGATAGGATATATATATATATATATATATATATATATATATATATACACATATACAGGGTATGCGTCTCATATTGACGCTCATATATATATGCATATATATGCCATGTGCGTTGGATGTCTACGC